CCGGGAGCCCCCACGCCGGCCAGCCGGGCAGCCGGCCGGCCTCGGACGGCGCAGGGAAGCACTAATTAAAACCATGCCCGCCCCGAAGACGCGCTCTCCAGATTACTATTATTTTGCTCTTTGGGAAGCTTAGGGAGTGTGGGCAGCGCAGCTGGAAGCTCTGCCTTCCAAACAGGGCTCCGAGCCCCGCCTCACTCTAGCATGGGACCTGGGACGGGCGCCCGGGACCCCGGCAAGCCTCTGCTTTCGCCACTGCGAAATGGGTATGGTAACTGGCAGCACCTCCCCGATTCTTTGTGAGCACTTTGCTCAGAGCCTGGCGGAAAGCAGGTACTCGGTAAGTGGCGGTGGTTTGCAGCCCTCATTGTTAACTAATAATAATAAAGGAACTAAACCCTGGCTCCCCTGGGGCCCAGAGCTTGGTAGGAAGGGAGGCATTCAAAAACATCGGAAACACTGTTTGTTTACAAGACTGCCCACCTCCCTGCCCAAGCAAGGTGCAATCCAAACAAAAGAAAAGGAAAAAAAAACTCGCCACCATTGAGTCGATTCTGACTCCTGTCGACCCTATAGGACAGGGTAGAACTGACCCTAGGGGTTCCTGTAGCGGAACCTCCTTACCAGGAGTAGAAAGCCTCATCTTTCTCCTGAGGAGCGGCTGGCGGTCTCAAACTGCTGGCCTTCTGGTTGGCAGCCCAACGCACAGGGCAAATAATCAGCCAGGGGGCCCAGGGGCCTGCCCTCAAGCAGGGGTGACAGAGCCTCCCCGCCCCGCCCCCATGAACCAAGCTGGCGATGGGGGTGAATGGGGGCGTCTGCAGAGGAGAGGGTACACAGGTGATGGCTACCTCATCCAACAGCCGTGTCCCCTCCGCGTGAACAGCCAGCCAGGGGTAGCTGGTGCGTGAAGCCAGCACACACTGAGGGGGCCGGGGGGCGCGCACGTGTAGACGTAGCATCTGCGGAGGCTCCAGTAAGCCCCCCCGGCACAAACGTCTGCCCCCGCAGCCCGCCCTAATTCATTTCATGCTGCGCTCTTGCCCGTTCCAAAGTAATAAAATCTTCCTGAAATGCTAGAACCGTGAGGCCGGGCGTGCTGACGAAGGCCGGGTTCCGGAGGCCGCTGCTGCGCGATGCCGTAAGCCCCTGGCGATTGTTAAAACAATCTGCAGCCACCGCCCTCGGCCTGCCTGCCGGTCCCTGTTCCCAGACACCAGGTACCCACAGGCACGGAGCCCCAAACACCCCCAGGGTTTTCCCCCTGCCAAAGCTCCTCCTCCACGAGGAGCGATCGGGCCCTGCAGTTCCCCCAATGCCGCAGCTGTGGAAAGCCTGGCCTGGCAGGCCAGGGCGCCGGGCAGAGAAAGGGGCGAAAGGAAGAGATGATACAGGGATCACATGCAAATGTGCACACTCTCCATTGTGGGCTGGCAGGGCCCTGGACACGTGTCCCAGCTCCCCAGATTCCCCAGGAATTCGGGGTCATCACTCACCTTCCCCACGAGCTTGCCTTTGCGATTCATGCACAGGTAGAACTCCGTCTCCTTGCCCTTGATCCGGACTTGACTTCCGAAGGTGTCTGTCTCCACTAGGAGCTGGGCTTCGAAAGGCAGAAAAAAGAACAAGACACATTTTTTACCAGGGACAATGGCACCGGGCACTCATGGTCCCTGACCCTGCTGCTGGTCCCCTCCCACAAGTCAGGCTGGAGTAGCCTCTCATGGCACCCATAGGAGTATCCTGCCCCACAAGCAGGGAGATAGATGAGGTCCTTCATGTGTTCCCCACCCCAGTCTCTTGGCTCCATATGGGATAGGGGTGTGCCAGTCAGACAAGTTCTGCCCCTGGTGGCTAAACATGGGTGTGCCAGTCTTCTTCACCATCATCACCCACCTCCCCCCCCCCCCCCCCCCACCACTCACCACCAGACCCACTGCCAGAGAAATAGCCTCACTGCCCAAAGCAGGTTCAGGTAGATAGCCCCATTCTCAAAGCTGGACAGATAGCCAGAGAACCATACAAAGAACCTCATTTCCCACCACAGGAGCAACAGGCAGACAGATACCACCGGGTCACAGTGGCCAACAGGAAGCTGTAGTCTTGGGACCAAAGATGTATGCAAACATGCTTGCCCATGTATGTATGTACACACACACACACACACACACACACACTGACTTTGGGGATGTCAAGTGAATCCCTCCAGAGTTAGACCAGAGGTCCCTTCCCCCAGGCCAACACCCAGAAGCCTGCAGGTGTTCCTTGCCCTCTGCCCTGCCACTGGAAGTGGAGAAGGCACAAGGAGGAGAGGTGTGTGTTCCCAGCAGACACTCAGACTATTCCACCTCTCTGCACCAAGACCACCAAGACTGGATAAGTCCCAGGAGCCTAGAAGTCCCAACCAGGTGAACATCCCCTGATCCTGGAGAGAATGGGATTGTCTAGAGCAGAAGTTCTCAACCTTCCTAATGCCTCGACCCTTTAATAGTTCCTCATGTTGTGGTGACCCCAACCATAAAATTATTTTCATTGCTACTTCAGAACTGTAATCTTGCTACAGTTATGAATCATAATGTAAACATCTGATTTGCAGGATGTATTAGGCGACCCCTGTGAAAGGGTCATTCGACCCCCAAAGGGGTCAAGACCCACAGGTTAAGAACCGCTGGTCTAGAGGCCGCCCACAACCCTGACTAATCAAGGGCATCAAGTGACCAAAGAGTGACCACTCACTCATTAGGCATGCTGTGTTCCTCCTGTCCCTCTGCCAGTCCACGTTTTCTCCCTATTGGGGAGCTGTGTGATTTGGGGTAAGGCATGTACCCTCTCTTAGCTCTCTCCCCCCTCTGGTCTTGAGCCCTTGGCCTGGGGCTCCCTGCTCCAGTCTCTACTGATGCCTTCTGTGCCTCTGCTTCCCGTCCCCCCACTTCTCACCCCCCATTTCAGGCATCTGCCCTTCCCTCACCCACAAAACTGGAATTCCAGTGACCAGGGGCTTGCTTCTCCATCACACACATCCCCGCCTCAAATTCCTGAGCACAGTGTCTTCGGAGTCACAAAATGGGTACCTCAGTGCCCTTAAAATACACTGGGCATGATTTTAATAAAAAACTTAAACATATATACCTCCGTGCCCTGCTGTGAAAATTAAAACCACCTGGAACTGGAGATTTCCAATAATTAATCTAGCCCTCCTTTGACACCACTGCTAATTAAAATATGATACCCACCTTTCCGTGGGAAAAAAAAAGAATTTACATAAAATTTAAAGATCTAACAAGAATTTAGTAATTCTAGAAACAGGAGGTGGGGGGCACATTCTTCTCTCCACCTCCCTGCCGCCACCCCCAATAAACATTGAGTCAGGAGAATTAGCCAATGCCAAGAAGCAGTGGGGGGGGACACAAGCCCTGCACCCTCCCTGTGTCCCCTGAACTCAAACGCCCTGTGATGTTTGCACATGTTCCAGGTCAGTTGGTCCCGGGAGCTCAGTACCAACTCCACCACAGCTCTGTGGCAGGGTCTCCCCAATCCTCTCTCAGCTCCAGCCTCACACACAGGGGGCAGAGGGGTCTCCTGTTCCCAGGAGCTTCTTCCACCAAGAAAGCAGTATGTGTAAGGGGTAGGGGAGATGCTGGAATGCCTGGATCTGGCTCTTACATCCACTTGTCTGACCTCTGCATCTTCCACCTGTGCAATCAGGGTCCTGCGGCTGGTGGCTGTGGAGCAGAGTCCATCTCTAAACAGCCCCTCGTGTGCAGAGCGGACCACACCAGGGGCGACTGCAGTCAGTGGGTTGCCAGACCTTTCCTAGGAGGCACCCATCAGTGGGTTCAAGCCACCAACTTTACGACTAGTCACCAAGTGCCTGAGCCACACCACCGCCAGCCTTCCACAGTGACTGAGGTTGCTGCAGAGGGTGCCCAGGGGGAACGTGGGAGCATCGTCCACGTTGCTTGCTAACTGCAGAACAAAACCATTTTCCTAAAAATGAATACAATGATAAAGGGGGAAATCGATTGTGGAAAAAGAGCGGAGGTGGAACAGAACTTGCCCCCCCCCAAGTTCTGCCCCAGCCAGCCTCTCCCGCTCCCCCCCAAGTCCTGCCTTCTAAACTGACTTTCTTCAGCCTCCCACAGGGCCACAGGCAGCCCACATACTGAGCTGTGTCAGGAAGCAGCTCTGCTGGGGACTCAGGGCTCCCGCTGGGAGTGACTCCATTTCTGGCATTACTACAGGGCTGTGTGGCCCCAGCACACAGCATCCCCCTCTGAGCTTCCAGCTCCTCACAGTTTGGGAGAGAGGCAGAGGTGGCTGAGGACAAGGGAAGAGATGAGGCTACAGGACGGAAGTCCAAGTGTGTCGAAGGAGAGACTGATGGTCCACCTCCCTCTCCTGCCACACATGCTGAGCCTCTGTCCTCAGAGCAGAGTCTCAGACCAGTCACCCAGCACCTGTGGGTACCCACTGAAGCCACAGGTCCCCACAAAGGTATGTGTCCTTGTTCCCATTTGAGAAAGAGACAGGGTTCAGAAACTGGGGATCAGTGAGACAGCCTAGCTGTTAGGGCTGAGGTGTGGTCTGCTGACCTCTTGCTGCTGGGGGCCTGGGCTCTGGGGAGATAAGCCCCAACACCAAAGCCAGCTCTACAGCAGGAGGCTTCCATCCTTTCCTGAACAGGCCAAACTGACCTCTCTCCTCACCCCCTGCAAGCTAGCCACCCCCACAGCATGGGGAGGGTCTGCAGCCAGGCGGCAGCACCAGGGGAGCCAGAACTCTGGTCTCTCTCACCCCCACCCCCGCCCCCGCCCTGACCGCAGCAGGCAATGGAGTGACCTAGACTCCACTCGGCACATGACATCATGAGGAGGGATCGGGGCCAGAATTATGTAAAGTCTTTAGGGAGTAATAGCAACAGCGGTTCTCAGCGAGTGAGCCAGTGAACGAGAAAGAAACAGACAGACAGACAGACCTCCCAGGCTAGGTGGGCAGCCAGAGCTTGTCTGACCCTCAACATCCCCCTCCCCACGTTCCTGTCTCCAGCCCCCAGGGTGCGGCAGTCGGGAAGCAGAAGCCTCATCTAGCTCAATTCCATACATGAGACCCACACCAGGTCAGACAGAAGGAGTTTGTGACAGTGTCCAATTTAATTCCTCACCAGGAACCACCCCCACCCCACCCCACCTCTGCCCCCAGGCCAGCATCACCTCCACCCCTCCCAACTCTGCAGCCTGCCCCTGCTGCCCTTGTCCCTCAGCCCTCTGCCAGTGCCCCCTCCATACAGCAGCCAGAGGGAGCCTTTAAAAGTATTCGTTTAATTATGCCTCTTTCCTGTTAAAAGCCTCCTGGGGATCCCACTTAGAAGAAAACCCACACTTTTTACTGGGACCCATGAGGGGCAAATGTTCAGGCTTTGCTGACTCTCTCCACCTGTGCCCCTCATTCACAGCCCCCCAGCCACACAAGTCTCCCCCTCCCCAAATACCAAGTACCCTACTGCCTCAGGGCCTTTGCACCGGCTGCCCCCTCTGCCAGGACATTGCTTTACCCAAATCTTCCCAGAGTGGCCTCTCATCTCCCAGGTTCTGCCTCAGATGCCACCTGCTCCCAGAGACCTCCCTTGGCCTCGTTGCCTATTGTTGTCACCCCTCTCTGCGCCCCCAATCCCCACCTGTTCTATTTTCCTCAGACCTCGTCTCTGCAAGTATGTTATCTATCCTCATTTTTGTTGGCTGTCTCCACCCATTGGCAGGTAAGCTCCATGAGGACAGGGACTTATATGTCTTATTTGCCACTGTGATTTCCAGCTCCTAACGCATGCTCAGGTGCCCGGGTAGCCCAAACAGTTAAGTGCTAACTCCTAGGTGAAAGGTTGGTGGTTCAGACCCACCCAGAGGTGCCTCGGAAGATAGGCCTGGTGATCAGTTTCCAACAGGCCACAGCCTTGAGAACCCTGTGGGGCAGCCCTTCTCGGTACACATCGGCTCACCATGCTGCGGACCGCGCTCCGCTCCGTAGTAACCAACGGCACACGCCCAGCTCTCTGTAAATAAGTCTTATTAAAGGGACAGATGCGCTGGTGGAAAGGGTATAACTTAAGAGATTTTTTTTTTAAATGTAATTCAGAGAGGACCTGCCCATGGTCACAGCTCATCAGGGGATGATAGGAGTCTGACTCCACAGTCACCACTCGGCTTCCTACTAGCCAGAGCACAACTCAAGACACTCACTGGACCTATGGTTCCCACTGACCCCATACCCAGCCACAGGGTTACTGCAACATATTCTGGCTTGCTGTGTGACCAAGCAAAGAAAATCTCTGTCCCTCTCTGAGCCAGGACAGGTCACTATAACCCTTCTTCGGTTCTACCAAATCCCAGTGACCCGATTCCCAGCTGGGCACTGCTCTAGGAACATTCTATGCATTCTTCGTCTCTTTCTCCTGGCATACCTGCAAGGGTTTCACTGCTAAACTATTCATATTACCCTACTTTATGGATTAGAAAACTGAGTCCCAGGGTCACGCCATGATGGACCATGAGGGAGCTAAGATGCAAACTCGGGTACACTGGCCTAGAATCCTTGGTCTTGGCCCATCTT